TAGAGACAATAAAATATCACTCTGTAATGTGGATTTTATTTCAAAAATGAATACCTAGTTGAAATATGAAAGTTTCGTGAGAAGTTAAGGGAATTTTTATATTTCAATTATCACTACAATATAACAATTGAGTTCACTGATGTCGAAGTTTTAGTGCTGCTTACTTGTTAGGGCCAGATCTCTTTATTTCTTTAATAGACGCTCTTCAGAATGTTCAAAAATATTTACTCATACGTTCTCAAGCCAGTTTTAAAAGGAGCTTCTTGTTTCTCACGATCGAACGTTTACTTTATATAAGGACTTCTCCCGTAAGCTACTGGGAGATGTTGCTACTGGGGAATTTGCTTGTTTCGTAAAAACTCTCAAGTGCAAACACATGAGAGCAGCTTCGCAGCGGCTCGCATCGGAAAAGCTTGTGAAAATGAATCACTTGGATTTATCGTCTATTCAGTGGCTCGGTTTATGTCTCATTAGGTCTAGCGCATCGTGGAATTTTAATTCGTTTCTCACGGTGCTCATCAGCCCGTGGTATTTTCGGATAGAAAACGTAAATTAATGCTTTATCGCTCGTAAATGTTCCACATACACGTACATCGTGGCTCGGTTCGCTTTAATTGAACCAAAAACATGTCGCACATTCGATAAAATTTTGCATTCATTGCTTCCGTGTCGCAGGTTATGAGGAGCCCCATAAACTGTAAATAATTCATCAGAAAAGTTACACGAGCAAATAAAAGCACTGATGAATTGTATATTTCACGTATTTCTATTTTGTTCCTGGACGCAGAAATTTTTAATAACTTCCATTCTTTTTCGACTTTCGATTGGCGCTCTCGTACGCAGGAATTCACGTTTCTCGTCGATATTATTTCGTAAAATTCGTTTCGTCAACGTGGTGCTATGGCGTCGTTACACATTCAATTTCATTTTATAAGTTCGCGAGTGTAAATACGTATGTTTGAGTTTCGGTGGAATTTAATATTGTGTTGACGAAACGATATTCCACCGAAAAGTTTCATGCAACTCAGAAACTACTGGCTAACATCTTTAACGAAATAAAATGCTTGCACGCAATTTAAGGGAACGAAGGTAAAATAATAATGTGTCTATCAAACACAATGTTATATCGTTCACGAATCGTTGGATGAAAGCTCAGTATAGGAAGCGAACGAAATAGAAGCAGTATCTAATTGCAGAATTTCAATAACAGTTTGCTCCACGCAATAGCAAGCAAATAAAATAAATTTTACGAAGACCACTTTGTATGCATTACCTTTGAATGTCAGCGGAGAAGTTTTCTCTAGCCTCGAAATATATGTGCTCTCTTGCCGTGGCCCTCGATTTTGCTCTCGGGGAAAGAATTCATGAAATAAGGTCAGTTTACTGTTTCCTTGAGAAGATAATTTTAGAATACTTGCAGCTCTTTTCTCACTGTCCGTCCCGCGCGTTTACTCTTAAAAGACCATTTACCACGACCAACGGCTTATTACTTATTACAAGACCCGTCACGAATGTTTACGCAAATACGAAGTTTCCAGTGACCGATTTGCGAAGAGCACAGATCAACGAGAAATTCGTTTACCCAATTCCATCCGCAGAACGATTTACGCAACTGGAACAAGTCGTATTTCTTTTCCCATCGCAATTAGAAAGAAGTGTTAGAGCAGGAAAACGAATGGCTCAAAGCGAACTAAATTTTCAGGGCGATATTTTTTCAAGAGTGCTACGATGCACGTGCGTTCTACAAGTGTACCAGTTTTTCAAGAGATCAGAAGAACGCGACTATTAGAAATTTTTTCTGACAAAATCAGTGGATCTTTTTTGAACGAGCATGCATGCACTTTGTTCAAGAGTACGCGTATCGTACAACTTCTGGTCACTTTTATCTTGTGAAATATTGAAAGTTTCTTAACAGTTCCACGACCGCGCTGGAAACCTCAAAATTTTTCATAAAATTAAAATATTTCATTCATTTAAACAAAAATTACGAAGCAAACTTATATGGCATCAATTGCTTCTTCAACATTCGTACCTCTTGCAAATCTTAATAGAATTAAGCAATTATTTTTAATTTTTCATTAATCATCTATTCGGCTATTAATCGACTGAATTTGAAACGGGGTGATTAAGTAAGAGCTTTTATCCCAAATGAGTGGTCAACTTTCAAAATTTATATGTATAAATTTATAATATATATATATATATATATAAATGTAAGTTTCATTAGTACAAGAAATATAATTATGTATATTTAAATATTGTTAAGGTTTCAATTATAAGCAGTTTATTTGTCACAATACTTACAATGCCGATCGCAGATTACACACGTGTTTACAGAAAGCTGACTGTACACAATATACATATGTAGACTGCACAATACAATCAGAATATTCTCGATATGATCTTCTCAAATACATAACGATACGTCGATAGATGTCACCATACAGATATCCAATTACATGTGACAAATTCTACGTTATCGGCACTCCTTAACGAATAATCATACGTTGCATATATGCATTTTTGCATGATGCATTCTGTAGATTGCACGATCTACACGTAACGTGGTATGTACTTTCTATTACCGACGCAGTAAAACAAATGAGTTAGCGGAAGATAGCTCATGGAGATATACACAGAGTGAAAATAGTCACACAAGTCAATTTTGTTAGGAATTGCGTGGGAATATACTTGGAATCAATAATTTTACTGTAAAAACCATATTTTTTAATGATAATTATAATTTCGTTTAGTTAGTATAGTTCCGAATACCATACACGTATCTAAAGGCACACTGTGTAACGAGAGTACGTAGTGTACGGATTTGGCCCCCCCCACCACTTGCTATTTCAATTAATGTGAGAAGCGGCCCACAGCGCCACCTACAATTTAATTACTAGACGTTGCTACCTAAACCACTAGTCTCTCCCTCAGTCTAAGATCAGCCTCCCACGCGTATAGACGTACACATAAGGTGAAATAAAGTACGCGACAAGTTAGGCGAAACCAACTGTCTCCTTATTACCGAAGCGCCATCGATCCCTGTTCTCAGAGAACCAGCTTAAGAGAACCAAACACCACACAATCCGCCACAATTTCCTATAGACTTCTACAGAATTCATTCAACAATTGACAAACGTTGGCAGATATAAGAAACGCGAAGTTACCGCGTAACAATGGGCATCCGAGGTTTAACGTCGTTTGTAAAGGATTACGGAAATCATTGTCAGCAAAATTATGAATTGCAAAGTACGTACTTGGTCATCGACGGTAACAACGTAAGTTATCAAATATTTTATAAATGTGCTCATCACACAGTTGTATATTTGGTGGAGAATACAATGTATATGAGGAGGCTGTATCCAAATTCTTTGATAACTTGCTAGAGTGTGATGTGACACCGTTAGTATTACTAGACGGAGCAAACAACATTTCAAAAACAGGCATCATATTGGACAGACTCAAACAAAAACTTGAAAATTCGTTAGCTTTGATTGCAAATCCAACGGAACGTAATGTCCCTTCTTTGCTCATAACAAACGTTTTCGTGCAAGTTTAAAGAAAGAAAAATATTCGTCATGCACGTTGTATGTTCGAAGCTGACGGGCCTATAGCTGCGCTAGCAAAAGTATTAAACTGTCCTGTACTTAGTTTTGACTCTGACTTTTATATACACGGAACATTGTATATACCATTTGACACACTCGGTGATCATGTAGTCAGGACTCGAAGAGGCAAAGCGATGCGTTGTCAAATTTACAGATATGAATACTTCCTACGTATTTTCAAAGGACTGACTCATCATACATTGTCTTTAGCTGCAGCGATACTCGGAAGTGACGTTACAATAAAACCAGAGATGTTAAAAATTTTTTTCTCTAAATTCGAAGCATATGGACCACAAAAATATAAGCAAATCATGCAACAAACATTTACTTGGCTCAGCAAACGTACCTTGGACGAAGCTATTGCTGAAATCTTAAGTGGAATACCTAAATCAATGAGACAACGAATGTTAGATGCAATAGAATTACACATAAATTACTATACCTGTATAAATCTACCCGAAGCAGTGCTTGCACCATTGATTATTGCTGAATGCCCTAATCATTACATAACATCAGCTTACAAATTTAATAAAGATATTGAAAGTTTACCGTTCAGAGGAA